CCCCTACTGTTGCCTTGTGTGCTTTCATTTAAACGTTTGTTCATGATTCATATTCAAGTGTCATATTTATATATTTTCACAACTATAGACCCATTATGCACCTATTAAGCAAGGAAGAATGAGACTAGATAAACAATAACGAGTAAACTCAGCACACGATTTTACAGACTTCATTTAACCTGTATAATACCAACATTTATTTATTTACACTCTTATCAGACACCCTGTGCAGGTTTATCCTCCGATAGGTATCTTTTTTTAGCACACTCCTTACCTTTAAGACAGGTAAATACTGAGATAAATTTTGATTGGATAGCCCACTGACTTTGTTACTGTATGTCTTTAAATCAACAACAAGGTCATCGGATTGTCTGATCTTTGTCATCTGTGGTGCAGGCCATACCAAATAAAATAAGCAGAGCATCCACTTTTCTGAAAATTTATGTGGCCGAATATCCTTACTGTTAGGGGTTAAGATATTCATTATTGAGTCTGTTCCTCTGAGGTGAGAGGAAATTTGGGACAGGCACATCCAGATGCTGGGTTCACACACCGTGCTGTACTTCTCCAAGCCTCCCCCGGCAGCTCTCTGGAGCTTCTCAGGTGATATATTAGCTGACAGCGCAGTTCACAAAAAGTCCTCAGAAACTGGGGCTCTAGGCTGCTTTATTTCAATGAAATGACTGGAATTGGACTGTTTAATGGTACCTTTAAATCTCGCAAGAATTCATAACCTAATTTCCAATACAATTATTTGCAAGAAAAAGGAACGGAAGGTAACCATTTGTCATTTCTGGGTTTTCCCCTGAAGTTTGTAATATTATATTTTAAATATACTAAATAAATCCAAAGGGCCATACACTGTAAATGCATTTGCTCCTAAATATTTTACAGACATTGTAACATCGATTTTGTTGGTTCCTAAATCTTTAGTAAAGGACAAATGTAAGTTTTATAACAAAAATAAATTTCTTTGTTAAAGACAGTCAGTGCAAATGTATATCTGAACTGCATTATATCCATTATTCACTGTTTAGGGTTCTATGAGGTTTGTGGGTATCTCCACCTCAGGATAGCTCCATCGGCACTGGTGCTGACAATATATCTGCTGTTGTGACAGATCCTCACATTTGTGATGCTTCCACTGTGCCCGATGCCAACATGGGTCACTTCACCATCAGAATAGTGCCAGAGCTTCAGTAATTTGTCATCTCCACCTGAAAGAGAGATTAAGTGCAGAAAGCGACATGAATATGCACTAAAAACAGAAATGTTAGATTAGCACATCATCAACTCAAACTGTGAAACTCATTTAAAAATAACTGCCGGGATCAGTTTGAATTCTGCAAGTGTTTATTTAGACCTGGTGAGGAGACATTTATCCAACTGTTTCGCGAATGATACTTTTTGGCACAGTTAAAAATACTTCTGTTTATATTGTTTATTGTGCCACCTGTTGTTTCTGTTACATCCGCCATATGACAGAAGAATGACTCTGTATGTGAAAAGATACCGAAGGTACCTACCAGTCACAAAATATTTTCCATCCTCAGAAATGCTCATGCCATTTATAGCTCCAAACAAGGAGCCCTCGAGTTCTCTGATTGCTGAACCATCATAAACCTCCCAGTAGCCAATCTGTTCAAAGGTAAAATTGCATTTCAAATGTCCTATTCTGGTCTAGATCTTAGTTTTAACGGTGGAAAAATAAATAAATACATAATCATGTTAATTAAATAAAATAAAAATCAGATTAAAAAATCCACAAAGATGGATGACAAATCTGATAAGACAGCAACAATTCAAATAATGAAAAAAAAAGAAAGAAAGACAATGTAATTTCTCAGCATGCACTCAGCAAAGAACTGATGTAATCGCAACAGAAATATCAAGATGTAATTTGTTATAGTGCAACATAAGAAAAAACAAACGGCT